GGATGCTCATTTCATCATGGCACCTGATCCTACCTCTGATGTTTTGAAGGTCCGTGTTTGCTCCGCTCCTATTTTGTATTGTTTAATGGACTTTTGAGCTCGAATACTATTTGCTGTCTCCGCATGTTTCTTATTTAATTTCACTTATAATAAAAACGATCATGCAAAGGCACGACAATGCGATGACACGATGGAGCAATAGTGGATAACGCTTAATCGTCATCGTACCATCGTGTCGTCACTATCGCTCCATCGTGCTATCGCACCATCGTCATCGCATTGTCGTGCCATGGCATCTTATCGTCATCGCACTATATTGCGATGATGCGATAGTGGATTGCATGGCCCTATACGGATTCTATACTAAGCAGTTAAACACAATATTTTTTCCATCATGATTTAATCGATGAAAAATTGTAAAATGATACATGTATACAAATAAAATAAGTGATGATGAAACAACGAAAACGGTATATCACAGAAGGAAACAGACACAGGTTGACTGCCCCTGAATGTCTCTATAATACTGTCAGATGTTAACAACAGTGACGTCAGATGTTACACCTCAGAACTGAAATTGAAGGACCCCACAGTCCGTGATCTTGACATCTTTCCTTGGCCGCTCATTCATCGTCTCTTGTTCCTCCATTTTCTTAAGAGTTTGTGTGCCTTCAATTACTTGCCTAAAAATTAATAATAAAAAAAAATAGTCACAGGTGTCTAAAAAAGCGTCACATGTGCCTAAAAAATTCTTGTACGCAAATCACAGGCCTTTAGATCGCTTAGAAAAAAATTGAGGTGTTGAAAAAATATTTTTTTTTTTACACACAATTTTTTTTTAGGGATCCAAAGGCCTGTGACGCAAATACATAATATATGCATCCCATGTGCCTCAAAATTAATACTGTACATATCAATGTACATGTAACTACGTCACAAGTGCTCTACAAATACGGATGTGTCTCAAACAAAAGTATGAAAAACGTTACACATGACCTTAAATTTAATGTATCGAAAATATTTCAAAGTCACTACTAAATTGTCCTCACACTATAAACTTTTGTGCATGTGGTAGTTACAGATGTCGGTGCTTCTTCATTTATGAACAAAAATATTACCTCTGATCCCATTAAAATCAATTTAAATTTACAAAATATAATAACTATACAAGAATATATTGGTTTTACTTTAGCATTTTAAAATAGGTAGACGGTGAGGCTAAGACTCATTTATCATTCAAGTTGAATACTAATATTGACTTACCCAAAAGCTACATATTTGGTATCCATCCATTGAGTGGGTTCTAGCGTGATGTAGAACTGGGAGCCGTTTGTGTGACGCCCTTTGTTGGCCATTCCTACCATACCACGCCTAGAGTGGGGCACGGCGAAGTTCTCGTCTGGAAATAAAACGGCCAGGGGTTATTTTTAATGTCTACAGGTTTGACAACGATAAATTAAGGAAGTAACTAGTCTAATGCATTATTGAAATATTTGAAATATACATGTTTAGTTTATTTTTCAATTCAAAACATTTTTTTTATATAGTAAAAATTGACAGTTAAGGAATTACGGAAATTTGGGTTTTATAAAATGGTGTATTTTATTTGCACAATTATTTGAAATCGTCAAGTTTTATTCTTCCGTATACATTAAAATACTTTAAAAAATAATTTAGTCTTATTGAGGACAATTATTATACAAAATTTGCGTATTTAAACGTTCTCCAAACAATTTTTGAACGTATTCGACTTCTGTCTGCATGTAAGTATCATGTCATTTCTCATCAATTTAAGATCTAATAAAAAAATAAATTGGAAATAGGGGGGATCTTCGAACTAGCACACATACACACAAAACCGGAGTTCAAATTTCAAATCACAGGCACTTGTTTCGGAAATAAATTAATAACTCAAAGTATAAAAAATTATTTCTGAAACAAGTGCCTGTGGTTCAAATTCAGAGATAATACATTTATGTATTGTGAAGAGACGATATCGCCTACACATGATGATTGCAGTTACATGCATAATGAAAATGAAATGCTTCTGTAAATGTGAAAGGTATTTAAATAAATTTGAAACTGCAAATGTACATAAACATAAAACATTTTAAAAAATCAAATGGGAAGGGGGAATGAATAAGAAAAATTGGTTTTAATGGGAAGCTGTAAATGAGAAATACAGATGACAGTACCACAGGCTGAAGAATTTCGGAATACCTTGTCATAAACTTTGAATATATATTTCTTGTACAAAAGTCAATAACGTAATGATTTTTAAGTGCTGAAATGGTGAGATTCAAAGGAAACAGGAAAACGGGAGGACCTTTGAAATCAAAAACTTCACAATAGCAGCTGAGGAAACATGTACATGTACCCTGTATCACATAGCAGTTTTATTTCTGCCAACATCCAAAGTATTTTGGAGAACTACATGTATGACACCATACTGAAGTAGGTCATTCAGAACTTTTAATGAAACATCAGTAAAATCGTTTTATTTAATCAAAACTTGCGAATATATATTGAGGTAAATAGTAAAGTCCTTAAATACCTTCAAAAACGTATCCAAATATAGACTCCCCACCATTTCCCCTTCCGTGGTAAATGTCTGAAAATTGAAAGTACATTATTCTGTAAATCAGTTTCCATTTAAATTGTATTAGCTATCTATAAACTGGCTAGTCCAAAAGCTAAATTAGTTTTGGTCCAAAAATCTGGCATCATCATCCAATCATTTAAAATTTTCAAATAGTAAAATAGTTAAAAAGTCTATCGGGTTACCTTCTTTAAATAAAGAATTATTATTATTATTATATTATATTATTAATGTAAGTATGTTTTAACGACTTAATTTACTTTCAAATATTTAACAATTTTCAATTACATATAAGTTATTAATATTTTTTTGATGTACTTTCATTATGTCAAACTAAGTTCTGTCTTTCACATTGAATAAAATAAGCCAAAATTCATGAAATTTGTAAAAATTATTGTAAAATAACATTGAAACTTTGTAAGGTATGTAAAGATAGCAAAACTTGGTATTTCTTAACACACAAACACCATGTCATTTTGCATTTACCCCTAAGGTTTTTTGACCATTCTATGAAACAAGCCAGATTATGTTTTTATGACCTTACCACCCCCTTGGATCCACCCCTTCCTGACAATTCTGTGGAACAGTGTGTTGAGATAATGTAGTGTGTAGTCGGACTCTGATTTTCCTTTCTCTCCTGTACACAGGGCCTTAAAATTCTCACACGTCCGTGGAACAATGTCGGAGAATAACTACAAATAACATGAATAAGCAGTCAATTTATACAGACCTGGAGGTCAGTGTACAAACATATACTCATGCATGTATACATCTCAAGGAAAAAGATTGCGCATTTTGGTCCAACAAAGGCTACTTTAATTATTTTGGACCTTAACTTTCTTATTTGTATTATGTTTGACTTTTTTTTCCTAAAATTAGCTAGAAAATATAAATATGATTTATTGAATGTAAAATTCAAGTTTTGTTTAATTTGATTTATATTAACCACAACAACCACTCCATGGGTACTTTTCCCGGCTTTTTTTTTTCTTACTGTACCTCGATAACTAATCTCCCGGCTGGTTCTTCTCCAATAGAAACATCTAGGTAAACATAATCATGCTGAAAACACAAAATTATTATTTGAAAATTATGATCATTTAAATGCCAACATTACTTGTGATGAAATAAGAGCTTTAAATAATTTTTAAGGCTGAAAGCACCTTGATTTTTTTTTTTTATATATATGAGATAGCAAAGCAAACACTATAAATATTTTTATCACCACAGTGACTGTGACAATATTACTGTGAAAAAATGGCTATGATTACATTTTCAGAACTATATACAATGTACTCATAGTTGAAATGTGCATGAAAGCTGATATTTATATCTCGTGAGTTTTTGTTGAGATATTGTCTTACGTTTTTAGAGCTGAGATGTGTGAGATAAGCTTCTTCCATCAGAGTTTCATAAAGAGGAAGGGGGCGGAACTCTTCAAAATTAAAGTTGTCCTCGGCCCAGATGACGAAATCGTCGGGCCCCCCACCTCCTATGAGCATACCGTTACTGAAACAGATCGCCTTCTCCTCAAACGTCCAGGTCTCACCGCGTAATGCCTTAAAATACAGGTATTAATGAGAAAATGAACATTCAGTAGATGACATGCAGAGATACCGTGATACTGTATAAGTGGAAATTTTAGCGAGATGCAATTTTAGCGATTTGTCCTTAAAATATGACAATTTATTTTTAGCGAGAAATATTTTTTGCGATTTTAAATTGCTTACTAAAAAGCTACTACAAATTAAACACAGTTTATTTTTAGCGATATTTAATTTTAGCGATCTCAGAACCCTTGCTAATAATGCTAAAATTAAATCCTCGCTAAAAATTCTGCTTATACGGTATTTAATGTGAGCATGTCACATCATGTGCTTTCTAATGTCATGACAAAATTATTAAATCTATTCAATGGATGGAATATCCTACTTGGATAACTTTTCTTTAAAACAGATGAATTTCACAAATTGCTTAAATAAATATGATAATAGAGGGGGGAAATAGAAATGAGAGACAAGGATTTGCTGCCTTTTTAAAAAAAAGTATTTTAAAATAAACATAATATCAATAAACAATTCAAAATACTCCTAATACTCTGAGACTCACTTTTTTCTTGGCATCAATGAAAAGATCCCATTCAAATTCCAGCATTCCCTGTATGACTGCATCTTGGAAAATTTTAGGACTTTTCTTTATCAAATCCTTGAGAAAAAATGTAAGAAAATATTATTAACAAACAGATAATAAATTCGTTGGACTTAGTTACTTACTTGCAATGGGCCTAAATGATTAAAAGTTAATAACGTATCTCTCACTCGGCTGCATGTCAGCGATGTGCAAAGCGACGAGACACAGTTAATTAACATTTACAAAGGAACGTTCTGCTAAAACTTTTTTTGAAATAGCCATTCTAATGATAAACTACCTCTGCACAAAATCTAGCTCTCTGGAAGTTGACGTCGTTCAACAGTCCATAAATTTCAAGTCTTTGAACTTCTTTACCCGACATGACTGCAATAAATTGTTTGCCTTGGAAACCTTGTTTTCTTCCGGTAAATTAAAAATTTTATAGAATCTCGAGCCCGACCTTTAAAAAAATCTACAAAACGATTTGCTTCCCTTTCATTAGGCCTGTGTATGCATGATGGTTTTTAATTAAATTCTATTTGTGTCTGGATAAAAAAAAAAAATAATTTAAATTTAGCATTTCAAAATAAAAAAAAAAAAATTCTAATCTTGAAACCAAACACCGCGATGATTTGAGGAGATTTAAAAGCATGCTAGATAAATTAATATATAATTGTTTAAAGGACAATGTTATAAACAGTTTGTCATTGCATTTTCTATGAAACTTTCACTGAAAGTGCACTGTCAGATGATAACGATTCTAGGGAGGATATATATAGTCCATGTAATTCGGAGTTCAATCCGAGCGTCACGTCGGAAACCCAGTGATGGAGGTCTAAAGGAACGTATTATATACTGAACAAAAAAAGAAACGCATATTCAGATTAAACATGATAATCTTAGTTTTCAGTTTAATCCTTATTTTTTAACAAGTGATTTTAGAGGGTTTTGATAAAAATCAAACATGTCCTATGTTGCGAGTAGAAAAGTGAAGTTTATGTCATTGTCGACGCCTCCAAATTCTAGGCGCATACCGTCTAAAACAGTCAATATGTCCTTTGCGACGTCTAAGCGCAAGTGGATTTGCAATGTACGGATGCCGTGCACGAATACCAGCTCCTCTTAGTCTTTTGCGAACAATCTATGCACTTTAATGCTGATTTTTTCATCCAGCAATTGTAGCAGCAGTTTTTACAGCAGTTCTAAATCGCGGGAGATGCTGAAAAAAGGGGGGTGTCTGACGGTCCTGCCTGGGTGTGGCTACTTGCGGATGGCCAATTCTTGGTCTTCCGACAATAGTTTAACGGCTGCAAAGCCCATTTATGTGTTCCAAATGCAGTTGCAACTTCCTGTTGCGTAGCTCCGTTTAGTATCATCGTTAGCCTGGTTGTGTTCATCTTTGTTTCGGCGTAGCAATGCAACATCAACAATGCAATCAAGTCTTAAATATGGGTTTAATAGCAGTGATAATAGTTTCTCTAAATCCAAAATAGCAACGAAAATAGACGTCCGATTTAGAAGAAATCATGTAAAACAATACTTTCATAAACACGTTTAATCAAGGGAGATAATTCAACACTTAGGGTTTAAAACCCCATGTTGTCCTTTAAATAGGTCTCAGGTATCCAATGATATAAAATATAGTTGTTCCATGTACATTTTAAAAATTTCTTTGACGAGTAAAACAATATGCGTTTCTTTTTTTGTTGAGTATATATAGATCTCCCTCACTGGGTCTCCGACGTGACGCTCAGTTTTTATAAAGCAAGATTAATTCATATACAACTTTCCAGAAACCAACCGCCAAAATGAATAAAAAGAATAGAAATAGGTTTTAATATAAAATCAATTTATACTGAAAGGAAAAAGAACCGCAGGGTAGCATAATTATTGATAAAACTTTGACCACATGACCGAAAATTACGAAAATTGGTCAGATGGGAAATTTAGTTACTGTGCATCAAAATCAGTATTCAGAATTACTCAACCGTAAAATTATGACGTCACGTAGGGAAAACGCTAAAAAGCCCCAAACACGTGCAATTTGATAACGACGTGTTTGTCCACAAATCTTGTTGCATTATTTGATGCATATGAGGTATGCACATCGTTTTTCAATATTTAGAGACATTATGAATTTATTGCAATCTTGGCATAGGCGTCGGAACCGGGGGGGCTAGGGGGGGCTTAGCCCCCCCCCACTTTTTTTCCAAATATATACTTAGTATAGACATTGAACATATATTCGTAAGTTTAGCCCCCCCACTTTCCACAGATACGTCTTAGTATAGGTTAAAATTGGAAGAAAATTTTTGGTACTGGAGTTCGAACCTACACCCCCCCCCCCCCCCCCCACGAAATCGGATTTTCGTGTTTGGGAAATAGACATTTCCTTTTTTTTTTTTTTTTTTGCTTGTCAGGTTTTTTTGGAGGTACAAAAAAAAATTTTCTTACACTTAGCCCCCCCACTTTCAATTTGCTTCCGACGCCAATGCTTGGCACAGTTTATGGAAGTTCAAGGGGGTCTTGTTTTCGAATTACCTAATTAATGAAAAAGGCAACAACGGTTTACTAAAGCAGTCTCTTGTAAATTTCCCCCCTTAAAACTTTTTAGCCGTTGTCAGAGAGGGTCTGGATTGGATTTCAATCAACTGTGACGATGACGTTAACGTGAAACAGAGCCATGTTACGAGCGGGTTATTCGTCCTGCCATCTCTTAAATCGCCACCTTACTACCACAAAACAGCCATTTATAGTGTACACGATTATAATAATTACATTCATACGAAATTTGAAAGAAAACAATGCCGCAATTTGGTTTTTTGAGCCAGTCAACTTACTGTTGTATTCCTCTCACTGGCGCATGCGCGCGCCGTTTGACTTATCTTTTTGCGTGGTTACCCATGCTAAATATAGCCAGGGTTTGAAAGATAAACACTCTGATGAAATTCCATGCAAAGGAGAAATAAGACTCTGACAGATGCACGAGATGGACATTGAAGATAATGAGAGTTTTTGATTTTCCCTTTTGGGGGGTATCGTCATTTGAGCTTCAATAACTCATGAATAATTACACAAAATCATATGAGAATTTGGTTATACCTTTTTGAAAGATGATCTTAAAAGTTAGATAGGAAAACTAAGAAGTATTTTAAGAAAAGCAAATTTAATTCACCTCAAAAGTTTACCCTGCGTTTCTTTTTCCTTTCAGTATATTTCTAAAAATATACTCTCCAGAAATAGCTTTATAAGGGACTCAAAAAGCCCACTTTATATTTAAACTGGTGGGACGTGAAGCGAAGAGTTTATGACACATAATGTGCTAGACATTGAATTCATGTCGTAAAGATGAAAGGAAAGAGAAAATCTACAGACGTCGTCCTTTAATTTACTGATGTCTACATCAAATTCTACAGCTTGTTATTCTTGTCAGAACACAAATAGTAACCTGATCGCGACATTTTTACAGGGTATTTCACGGGCACCTAACGCTATACCCCCCCACTCCTAATCTGCTAATATTGACACTCTAACCTAATATATAACATGCAATACTGACTTTATATTATTTTCTTTTCACAAAACATATTTACACCCCTACCTAATAAATCTCAGTGATTTATGTAGTATAGGAAAGAGTGATTACATTGTTAAGGTGATAAAGTTTACAGGTAATACTGTAACCCCAGTATGATGGGAGAAATAAAGATGTTGGGTAATAAAGACCATAGATCAATACAAGACACAGACAGAAATGAAGCCAAAGAACTAACGCCAAAATCTGTATGATTTGGCCCTGTCAATTCCTGAAAACCAAACTTCATTATTAAGCAGCGAAACTTTGGCCAAATATTTATTAGGTGTTAAACCTTTGGTCGCCGTCTTGATTTTTGGGAAGGAAACAGCGCGTGCTTTATTATAAACATCAAAACCGGATGCGGTAATGCAAAAATACCAAGTTTCAAAGAAATTTAGACCTTTTTACAGCGATTTTTTGTAGGCGCCAACCTTGAACCATGATGAAATTTTAAACACAGTTAAAATGATACATGTTATTCCAAAATTTATTTGGTTTTTGATGGTTCACGTGTGGCGCCCTACTTAAATGATACTTTTCAGTACTTTGATGCCTGACTTGTGTAAAAGATAATTTCCGGATTTTTTTTTTCTTTCAGTACGGACTAGTAGAAATAGAGGTTAAACTTAATTAGTCATATTAAATGATTTATTTTTTAATAATTTATTGAGGCCGTAAATAAATTTTAAAGGATATAAAATCCACTCGATATAAAACTTGCGTCTGTAAAAAAGGGGAATTTCCGATCCCGATGTGATAAAATAACTGACTATCCGGAATGCAGGTTACAATCGACTGAAGATAGAGAAGTTTACATGACTTTGTTGTGGTGAGTATCTTTTATATTCTTCTAAACAAAAAAGTAAAGTAAGCTTTAAAATACACATGCATCAATATAATAGGATGATTCTGAGCTGATAATACATGGACCGCTCGCTTGACCCATATGTCGTCTGCAGTGTGATCTACTGTCAGATTAGTCCGAAAAATCTGACGTTTTCCTGGCTTTTTTACAATTTTGATATTTTACTTTCCTGGCATGTAAACTATCAAGATCGTAAAGAAAGCCAAGAAATCGGACTATTCCTGGTATGTAAACTATCAAGATCGTAAAAAAGCCAGGAAAACGTCAGATTTTTCGGACTAGGGGCCTCTACTGTCAGGTATGCAATAATGCAATTCTATATCAAAGTTTATTGTAGTACGTGTGATTGAGATGCAAAAAAGATCGGCATAAGTCTAAATTAAGATTTTATTCAAATCTGTATGTAACGTTAGCCATATGAGTATCTTGTAAGTTCATTTTAAATTTCACACCAATATGATAAGCAATGATATCACTGGAACATGTCAGTCTGAATCCCCTCTTCTTTTTTTTTAAATAAAAGTACAGCACATATTTACCATGTTTACAAGACAATATATCAATGTAAAAATATTAATTTATATTTTAATAGTCATAATTTACAAAAAAATAGACACATTAACACAGATATTCAACATCAGGGGGGTGTTTTGTTTTTGTTTTCATGAGTTACCTCTCTTTGAAAAATTCACGTTCTATTTAAATATATTTTTAATGATTTTTCCTTTATAATGATTTTTTCTTAAAATAATATAAACAACAATGCAAATAATAGCATATTCAAGCAAATTCATTAGAATATAAATAGCAGTAAATATTTTAAAATAATAAACAGCCAAAATCAATTTTATTATTATAATTCTGCAACTTTTTTATTGTTGTTCATAAATTAAATATAAATTGCTGAAATGGGGGGTGGATCTCAAGGTGTGTGCATATTTAAAATATAATGAAAAGAAGTATATATTGTAGAAAACCACAGTAAGAACTTAATAGTTTTAAAGGATTTATAAAACAAAAATAAAGCAACAGTATTTGAGGTGGTTAAACTCAATCAAATATCTTTAAAGTATTCCCAGAGGAAGAAGACAATTTTTGTATAATGATGTAAAAATTCATGTCCTTCCTCAGGCAAAGTTTTAACAATATGTAAGTCCATGAATCTGAGCATACATGGGATGAAATTTTTATTGTAATTCTAATCTGGATGAGATGGAGAAGATATTTTCAAAAGATTTTAATCAGCCATTTTGGCTGTAGTTTAAAATAAACTAGAGGTACTGTGAGCAATGAGCTCACTAAATGATAACCCGCGCCTCCCATATGAATATAATGGCAGTGTCCATGTTTTTGCTCTGGAAAATCAAAAATATATGTCAGATCAAAAAGTAAAATAAGAGGTGCACAATGGCAATATGTAATAAAGATTCTGTGAAAGTTTCATTAAATTTCCTTCAGTGGTATGAGAGGAGCTATAGTTGTGGATAAGAGATGGATACCCCAAAGCATAACAGACGGACAGACAGACAGACAGACGGATGGATATACCGATTACTATATACCCTACCGTTTTTCAAGCGGGGGTATAATTATGGCAGTAAAAAAAAAAATCATTTTATTCAGTTGGAAAGGTAAAACGAATTATTTTTCATAATTAGCCTGGATAATAATTTATAAAATGTAAATGTTCTTGTATTTAATTTCAGATAATGCCAGGACACAAAACAGAATACTTCAACTGTGTATTGTGCTCTAAAAGAACAAAACCCAATGAAAGGAGGCATCTTGACAAAGGCATAAGAAAATATTTAAGAAAAAGGTTTATGGTGGAAGGAAGGGAAAATTCTGTCATCTGCAGCAAATGTAGAAGCAATTATTACAGAGATGTTTCATGCCGTAAATCATCTGCAACACCCTGCTCTACCACAATTCACAGGGAATTTCCAGCGTCCGAAACAAATGACAACAGAAAACATCTCTCCAGTCCACCATCTGTATCCTTGCACCTAAAATCCACTGCAAAGACTCATGCCTATTGTATCGTTTGTAAGAAACCAGGGCCCAAATTGATAGTAGTGTCACCAGAATTCCGCACATCTGTTTTTATTGAACACAATGTATTAATTCCATCCGGAAATAGATGTTGTCCTGGTCATGTGGAAAATGAACGCTTCACAACTGATGCAATTCAGCAATTACCGACGACAGACAATGCATTTGTTAACAGAACTACCATCCTAAGTTTACTTCAAGAGATGCGTGTTTTATGTCATAAACATGACAAGTCTTATTTGGACTTTGATGACACCACGACTCTGACCGATACAGACTATTTGTCTTTGCTGGGACTCAACAAGGAAGATTTCCATACAATATGTGACGCTGTGAAAGATGAAGTGAAACCAACACCGTCTAGGAGTGTAAGAAAATCTGTTGCCATATTCCTGTGCAAATTAAAGACTGGCTTGTCAAATCAAATACTGTCAACACTTTTCCAAACTTCCAAATCCAGTTTGAGGAGGGCTGTTAGTGCTGTAAGAGCAGCATTGATGATCAGCTTTGTGCCACACCATCTTGGGTTTGAACACATAAGAAGAGAGGAAGTCATCGAAGACCATACACGACAGCTAGCACAGACATTGTTTGGTAACATCGAGAAGAAACAGGCCATATTGGTACTGGATGGCACTTACATATACACAGCTAAGAGCAATAATTTCCACTACCAAAGACGTTCTTACAGCATCCACAAGGGGAGACCACTAATCAAGCCTATGGTTATCGTAACTACTACTGGTTACTTTGTCTCAATCTTAGGACCATACCTTGCTGATAATAAAAACAATGATGCATCAATTCTCCAACACATCATCAAAACAAATGCTGAAGATATTCGGAGCTGGCTAAGTGAAGACGACATCTTTATTGTTGACCGCGGGTTCAGAGATGCTTTGCCTCTGCTTGAAGATCTTGGAATCCAGGCAGAAATGCCCCGATTTCTGCTCAAGGGACAAAACCAAATGACTACTGATGATGCAAATATGAGCAGACTTGTGACAAAGGTAAATAACATGTAAATTCTCACAATAAAGTTATTTACAATTTCTTGTGAAAATATATATTACTATGAATAAGTTTTGAAAAAATATTTTTTAGGTCAGATGGGTAGTGGAATCTTCAAACGCACGCATCAAGAGGTGGCGATATTTGGACAAGACACTACCCACTAATCAAATTCCCTTCATCGGTGACTATGTCAGGATAGTTTGCGCACTCTCAAACAGATTCTCTCCACCCCTGAGTAAAAGTAACAACACTGAGGCTGATGATGCAGAGGCAGCAAAAATGCTCTATCTGTCCAAACAGGTATTTAAGTTGCACAATTGATTTATTGTATAATACCTTAATGTACTAGTAATTGAGCAGCTGCAAAAATCTGCATTTAAGAATACATTTAACTTTTTTAAATTTCATCTTGCTCATCTCCCTTGAATACATCAGCATATAAGTTATAATTACATGCGTATGGCTTTCTTAATAGGTGAATAATCTCAAACGAATGGTTCAAGAGAATGGACTTAACAGAAGATCTACTCAATGGCAAACAGTTCTTGAATGTGAAATTCAGAATTTCCCCATGTTCGATGAGGATCAGTTGCGGAATTTGACTTGTGGCACCTATCAATTGAAGCTCTCTCGTAGCTATATTCAAGAACACATTGAGGGAGGATGTGATATTTTCTTCCATAAAGAAAATGATAGGCTCCTAAAGGTGAAAATTCAGAGTCGGCACACATCATCAAAGCAGTATTTAGTTTGGATTGAGTATTCTGATTACTCTGTAGAGGCATGGTATTGTACCTGCAGAGCGGGTGCCAGAGTTGTAGGCATGTGCTCTCACATAGCAGCCATCATTTGGTACCTGGCAAAAGGAAGACATGAACAAAGGACATATGGTGTGCGTGACTGGAGTGAGCATGTCCTTGATGCAGCTGACATCCCACCTGCTTTGGACGAGTCTGACAGTGATGACAGTAGCTGTGAAAGTGTTCCCGAGGAGTGAACAGTTAGTTAATGTTAATTGTATTTTATTCATTGTTATTTTATATACACTGTATCTGTTGTATATAATGTTTTTAAAAAAATTATGTTATTTTTTCAATTTACTTGTTTAATCTGCTGTGTGAGTTTTTAGGGATGGGTATCGCCAAAAATTTCGTATCGCGATATATCACGATTTTTTCCCACAATATCACGATAATATCATGATATTTTAAAAGCAGTTTTTACAATGATTTTATAAGAAAAGTCATTATTTTTCTAAAAAATATGCTAGAAAAACAAAATTTTACGTTCTTGAATTTTTTATGTATATAAAATCAATTATGTTTGGACGGTAAGATGTCGTTCTTTTCACTTTTTACAACATTTTTTATACTTTCTGCAATTGTAATTTGAAAGATTGAACAAATAAATGAATAATTTCTGGACTTTATAATATGTACCTAAAAACCGGTATTTAGGTCTCCGTATCACGATACGTATCACGCAACAAAAAATCGCGATATACCGGTATACCGATAAAATCGCACATCCCTATGAGTTTTAAGTCGGATGCGGAAATTGGGCCGCTCCGCATGTAGAGTATCATTTTTCAATTAACTTGTTTATAATCTCATGTGTGAGTTTTAATTCGGATGCGGAAATTTGGCCGCTCAGCATGTAGAGTTTATAATCTCATGTAAAGTGTTATTTTTCAATTTACCTGTTTATAATCTCATGTAAAGTGTTATTTTTCAATTTACCTGTTTATAATCTCATGTGTGAGTTTTAAGTAGGATGCGGAAATTGGGCCACTCCGCATGTAGAGTGTTATTTTTCAATTTACCTGTTTATAATCTCATGTGTGAGTTTTAAGTCGGATGCGGAAATTGGGCCGCTCCGCATGTAGAGTATCATTTTTCAATTTACCTGTTTATAATCTCGTGTGAGTTTTAAGTCGGATGCGGAAATTGGGCCGCTCTGCATGTAGAGTATCATTTTTCAATTAACTTGTTTATAATCTCATGTGTGAGTTTTAAGTCGGATGCGGAAATTGGGCCGCTCCGCATGTAGAGTATCATTTTTCAATTAACTTGTTTATAATCTCATGTGTGAGTTTTAAGTCGGATGCGGAAATTGGGCCGCTCAGCATGTAGAGTGTTATTTTTTCAATTAACTTGTTTATAATCTCATGTGTGAGTTTTAAGTCGGATGCGGAAATTGGGCCGCTCTGCATGTAGAGTATCATTTTTCAATTAACCTGTTTATAATCTCATGTGTGAGTTTTAATTCGGATGCGGAAATTTGGCCGCTCAGCATGTAGAGTATTATTTTTTCAATTTACCTGTTTATAATCTCATGTGTGAGTTTTAAGTCTGATGCGGAAATTGGGCCGCTCCGCATGTAGAGTGTAATTTTTTAAATATACCTGTTTATATTCTCATGTAGAGTGTTATTTTTCAATAAACCTGTTTATAATCTCGTGTGTGAGTTTTAAGTCGGATGCGGAAATTGGGCCGCTCTGCATGTAGAGTGTTATTTTTCAATATACCTGTTTATAATCTGATGTAAAGTGTTATTTTTCAATTTACCTGTTTATAATCTCATGTGTGAGTTTTAAGTCGGATGCGGAAATTGGGCCGCTCTGCATGTAGAGTGTTATTTTTCAATTTACTTGTTTATAATCTCATGTGTGAGTTTTAAGTCGGATGCGGAAATTGGGCCGCTCCGCATGTAGAGTGTTATTTTTTCAATATACCTGTTTATAATCCCATGTAGAGTGTTATTTTTCAATTTGCCTGTATATAATCTCATGTGTGAGTTTTAAGTCGGATGCGGAAATTGGGCCGCTCCGCATGTAGAGTGTAATTTTTTAAATATACCTGTTTATATTCTCATGTAGAGTGTTTTTATTTTTCAATATACCTGTTTATAATCTCATGTGTGAGTTTTAAGTCGGATGCGGAAATTGGGCCGCTCCGCATGTAGAGTGTTATTTTTTTCAATATACATGTTTATAATCTCATGTAGAGTGTTATTTTTCAATATACCTGTTTATAATCTCATGTGCGAGTTTTAAGTCGGATGCGGAAATTGGGCCGCTCCGCATGTAGAGTGTTATTTTTCAATTTACAACTGTACCTGTTTATAATCTCATGTGTGAGTTTAAAGTCGGATGCGGAAATTGGGCCGCTCCGCATGTAGAGTGTTAATTTTCAATATACCTGTTTATAATCTCATGTAAAGTGTTATTTTTCAATTTACCTGTTTATAATCTCATGTGTGAGTTTTAAGTCGGATGCGGAAATTGGGCCGCTCTGCATGTAGAGTGTTATTTTTCAATTTACCTGTTTATAATTTCATGTGTGAGATTTATGTCGGATGTGATATTGTAGCAATAATCAGTAAAAAGGCATAGCTTGACTTTGCATATACCTATTTTCTGATTTATGTATTTTCATGATTTACCTTAAAAATATGTTAAAGTGAAGTTTACTTCAATATTTTATGTATTGTTATGAATACTATTGGAGCAAGAAATACAAATGTTTACAAAACTGATAATTTTGTTGTTATTATTTTAAACTGACACTGTTACATTTGTAAAATGGTAAACAGCGTTACTGCTTATGAAGTATATATATTTTCTTTAGAGAAGTACATACTATAAGAAAAGCAAACACTAAACTCTTTTCCATGCCTCAGAATTTCTTTGAAAAGACCATGATAAATTGAGATTTATATAAAAATAATTGAATTTTCTCCTCTTTAGAATATATATGATATGTTTATTACTAATTAAGTTCACATCATGACGTTAAAGTATATATGATTGACGTCTTGACGTTAAAGTAAGTAACGGCAACGTCATGACGTTGTAGAATTAACATTGAGAACAATACCAAATTCAAACAGCTGTAAAAATAAAACTAGAAGAGATATTGTTAAAAAATAAAATGTTTTATAATATACTAATCTAAGAGCATTGTTTGAAAAAGTTTCATCCGTTTCGATGACAGGGCGGATTTTTGTACATTCTGGCTTAAGTCCTTTATCTATTGGCAACACTAGGGATGTGCGATTTTATCGGTATACCGGTATATCGCGATTTTTTGTTGCGTGATACGTATCGTGATACGGAGACCTAAATACCGGTTTTTAGGTACATATTATAAAGTCCAGAAATTATTCATTTATTTGTTCAATCTTTCAAATTACAATTGCAGAAAGTATAAAAAATGTTGTAAAAAGTGAAAAGAACGACATCTTACCGTCCAAACATAATTGATTTTATATACATAAAAAATTCAAGAACGTAAAATTTTGTTTTTCTAGCATATTTTTTAGAAAAATAATGACTTTTCTTATAAAATCATTGTAAAAACTGCTTTTAAAATATCATGATATTATCGTGATATTGTGGGAAAAAATCGTGATATATCGCGATACGAAATTTTTGGCGATACCCATCCCTAGGCAACACAAAGACATTAATTTATCGACTCTCTCTGTATTAAAGTTGGATTATTTCTCATCCCTGTGAGAAAAAAAGAAAAATATTATTCCTCTATGAATTAAATGAACTAAAGATTTGACCAAGCGCGCTTAGCTATATATTACGTGGATATATACATACATATGTACATATTAGTTCTAACTGTGCTCTTGTGCCCAGTGTTTACCGAGTTTGTTCATACATGTACGAGATCAAATTGCCCAAAGTCCATTCTCGATGTCCAGAACTTACAATTGTAAAAGTTAAAACTGAAAATCATTTATTGATATTATTCGGTAAGAATAACTCAGTGCATGCTTCCATGCAGTTTTATAATTTAGGGACATTCTGATTTAAGATTATAAATAAAGAAATCTGAAAAGTTCACGGGAGCCCCCCCCCCCCCCCCCCCCATTTACAACCTGCATGGCTGCTGTCTGCAAGCCTTTCCCTGCATGATTTTTTTGCATAACCACACGTAAAACACATTTAAGATTTATTATGCATGCGTTTTTGTGGCAATACGTACACAATGTGTGATATAACAGATAATCCGGACCTAATTCTTGATGAACCTACAAATATCATAATCCAGTACAACAAACTCCAAGGCTTACTGTACGCGCGGATTAACCATCCGACATACGTGGATTTATTTCCTCCAACGTGCTGCGAGTTATACAACGTTCTTAACCTTTATTAACCCGGATTTATTTTAAAAATATAGTGCAAAATATTTATAATCCCGAGAGAGAGAGAGAGAAAGAGAGAATCGAAACGAAACTTTATGTTTTCAAAGATGATGCAAATGTGACGATACATTAGCTGCATATGAATACGAGAATTATAACCTGAATCAGCGCAATTTTAACTCAAATATCAGAAAAATAAAATGATGAATATCTACAAATTGATCATGTGCGACTGAACACAAGAAATTTAATTATTCATGCAAGAAAATATTGTAGGATGTGCGTGGGGGGAGGCGTATCAAACAACCCACCAGTCGATGTGTTACACATTTTGACTATTTAACTCATTTCAAGATTTTTTCATCACATGCACTATAAAAATGAACACTATTCAATCGTAAGATTTATTATTGGTTCTTTGTGAAAACAAGGAGTAACATTATCCATTCATACATTGACATCTGAATAAAAAATCCGGTTCTGTCACAGAATAATAAAACAGTAAGGAATGATTCAGCTTAAATAAAGGTAAAACAAAGCATGCTACGTCAATATCAAGGCGCGGATCTGAAAATTTCTTTTATATGATGTTCATGTGTTTATAATTATTATATTTCAACATGTTTAATGCACGATTGATTCGATCACGCTACACTTCTTCAATTAAAATGCAAGAAAAAAGTAATAATTTAAAAATCATGAACACAATTAAAACTACACGTACTTTGTATTAATTAAGTAAATACACATTAAAACTATAAATCATGAAACAAAAAAAAATCGATAATTTTTACTAAATAAATCAACATATAACTTTATTCAGAATGAAAAATGTTGTATACATCTAATAATATTTTTGAATTCATAGAAAATATTTCACAGAAATAACTAAAAAAATTAATTTAACAACAAATGAACAAGGGATACAGAGTTAACTAGCTTCTGG